AACCAGAGTGATAATTCCTTCAGGCTCCAATAGCAATTTCTCATCCGTCTTCTGAAGGACAGCGACACTGACGTTGCCTGTGCAATGACTGGTTGTCTGGCTACATGGCACACGCATGAAGCCTAGGAATCCACAATATGAGGACAGAAATTGGGATATTTATTCCCAGGAAGGCAAACACTTGAACAGCACCAGTACTGCACTTCTGTAGTGATTAAACCTTTTTGGACGTTTTTAAATGGCTATCTGTCGGGAGGGCTTTCACTGTGCATTCCTGCCCGGCTGAAAGGCGCGGGACTAGATGCACTTTGGGGGACCCTTGCAACTCTAGAAACTGCCTGGGAGTCCAGTGGAGTCTCCTTCTCTGGAGGCTTTTGAATTGCAGCTGACTGGCCGTCTGTCAGGAGGGCTTTAACTGTGTCCTCCTGACAGGCAGCCTTTCTTTATAGGGGCGACACACTCTTGTGCCCCGACACACTGTTCTAAAATATATGCTTCGTGTACAACGTTCCAGTCAACATGAGATGCCAAAGGTACATTTCAGGTTATAATGTAGCCCGAACCCTGCCAATGTCCTCCCCAAACACTATACTGCCCTACCTCTTTCTTTCCTTCCCCCTTTTTCTTTTCCTCTTTCTCTTTCCTTCTCTACCTCTTCTCTTCCTTCCTTCCTTTTTGTTTCCATTTTCCTGCCCTGGTGAAGAGAGTTGGACTCAATGGCCTTAAGTATTTTCTGTTGGTCTTGGGGGTTCTGTGTGGGAAGTTCGCCCCAATTCTGTTCTTTGATTGTAGGTGAACTGTAAATCCCAGTAACTACAACTCCCAAATGTCAAGGTCTATTTCCCCCAAACTCCATGTATGTTTATATTAGAGCAAATGGAGTATGTGTGCCAAGTTTGGTCCAGATCCATCATTGTTTGAGTCCACAGTGCTCTCTGGGTGTAAATGAACTACAACTCCCAAACTCAAAGTCAGTGCCCACCAAAACCTTCTAGTGCTTTCTGCTGGAAGTCCTGCGTGCCACGTTTGGTCAATTCCATCGTTGGTGGAGTTCAGAATGCTCTTTGATTGTAGGTGAATTATAAATCCCAGCAACTACAACTCCCAAATGACAAAATCAATTTTTTGAGTGATGGTCACTCATTGGGTTGTTAGGCGTATTCTGTCCAAATTTGTTGTCAATTTGTCCAGTGGTTTTTGAGTTATGTTAATCCCACAAACGAACATTACATTTTTATTTATATAGACTAGCTGTACCCGCCATGCATTGCTGTGGCCAACCTTCCCTCTTTCTCCCCTTCTTTCCCTCCTTCCTTCACTCCCTTTCCTTCCTTCCTGTCTTTCCTTCTCTTCTTCCTTCCTTCTCTCTTTCCTTCCTTTCCCCTATTTCTTTCTCTTCTGCTGTTTCTTTTCTTCCTTTTCTCTTTCCTTTCCTTCCCTCCCTCTTTCTCTACATCTTCCCCCCTTCCTTTGCTCCCTCTTTCCTTCCTTCCCTTTTTTCTTTCCTTCTCTAACTTTCCTTCCTTTCTCCTTTTTCTTTCCCACCTTCTTCCTTCCTTTTCTACCTCTTTCCTTCCTTCCTTCTCCCTTTCCTTCTTTCTTTCCCTCCCTCCCTTTTTTTCTCCCCTTCCCTCCCTTTTTCTTCCCTTTTTTCTGTATTGTCATTTAGGTTTTTGTCATTTAGCTTTTGGGGGCTTTTAAAGTCCCTTCTGCTGTGTTTTTCAGTGTTTTTATGAGTGAAGGACAGACATTGGGTTGTTAGGCGTATTCTGTCCAAATTTGGTGTCAATTCCCCCAGTGGTTTTTGAGTTCTGTTAATCCCACAAACGAACATTACATTACTATTTATATAGATAAGATAGAAGGGCGGGAGATTTCACAGCTCAATACTGTCAGTGGTGAAGAGACAAGAATATAATAATATCCTTTCAATATAATTTAATAATATGACCTTGCAACCTCTGAGAAGGCCTGCCATAGGTGTGGGCAAAACGTCAGAAGAGAATGCTTCAGGAACATGGCCAGACAGCCCGGAAAACTCACAGCAACCCAGCCATTTCTGCCATGAAAGCCTTTCAACAACACACACATTTAATATTTCTTTTTAAAACCAAAATGCAACCGCAGGAGCAGCGAAAGCCACTTTTCTTCTTCTTCTCTGAGGCCTATTTTACCTGAAGTATATACAGATTTTCTGTATATATTTCATATTTCAATATTAGTGTCAAAAACAAGTCATGCCAGACTAATCTGATCTCTTTTTTCGATAGAGTTACAAGCTGGTTAGATGCGGGGAATGCCGTGGATGTAGCGTACCTGGATTTCAGTAAGGCCTTCGACAAGGTCCCCCATGACCTTCTGGCAAGGAAACTAGTCCAATGTGGGCTAGGCAAAACTACGGTGAGGTGGATCTGGAATTGGTTAAATGGACGAACCCAGGGGGTGATTCTCCCCAAGCCTTCCTCTTCATCTTGGAAAGAAGTGACAAGTGAAGTGCCGCAGGGTTCTGTCCTGGGCCCGGTCCTGTTCAACATCTTTATTAATGACTTAGATGAAGGGCTAAAAGGCATGATCATCAAGTTTGCAGATGACACCAAATTGGGAGGGAGAGCCAATACTCCAGAGGAGAGCAGGATTCAAAACGATCTTGACAGATTAGAGATGGGCCAAAACTAACAAAATGAAGTTCAACAGTGACAAATGCAAGATACTCCACTTTGGCAGGAAAAAATGAAATGCAAAGATACAGAATGGGGGATGCCTGGCTCGAGAGCAGTACGTGTGAAAAAGATCTTGGAGTCCTGTGTGGACAACAAGTTAAACATGAGCCAACAATGTGATGTGGCAGCAAAAAAAGCCAATGGGATTTTGGCCTGCATCAATAGGAAGCATAGTGTCTAGATCCAGGGAAGTCTATTCCGCTTTGGTTAGACCACACCTGGAATATTGTGTCCAATTCTGGGCACCACAATTCAAGAGAGATATTGACAAGCTGGAATGTGTCCAGAGGAGGGCGACTCAAATGATCAAGGGTCTGGAGAACAAGCCCTATGAGGAGCGGCTTAAGGAGCTGGGTATGTTTAGCCTGAAGAAGAGAAGGCTGAGAGGAGATATGATAGCCATGTATACATATGTGAGAGGAAGCCACAGGGAGGAGGGAGCAAGCTTGTTTTCTGCTTCCTTGGAGACTAGGATGCGGAACAATGGCTTCAAACTACAAGAAAGGAGATTCCATCTGAACATGAGGAAGAACTTCCTGACTGTGAGAGCCGTTCAGCAGTGGAACTCTCTGCCCCGGAGTGTGGTGGAGGCTCCCTCTTTGGAAGCTTTTAAGCAGAGGCTGGATGGCCATCTGTCAGGGGTGATTTGAATGCAATATTCCTGCTTCTTGGCAGAATGGGGTTGGACTGGATGGCCCATGAGGTCTCTTCCAACTCTTTGATTCTATGATTCTAGTATGATTTTACATATGATTTGTGCTACATTAGAACAGTAAAGGGAAATATCACTTAAGTAAAATAAACATTCAATATTAAATAACCAGAAAAACATAAAATAAGGTGTAAACACTAAACTGGTGACGAAAAGAGGAGGCCCTTCCCCTTTTCCCGCTCTTTTTACCTCAGGGGCTCTTTCCTTTCCCAGTTCGTAGCGCGCATGCCCAGATGGGTGCCATCCTGGGCGCGCGCAGGGAGGAAGGGGGCGTGGCGTCCGAGGGGGGAACTGGGAGGGGAAAGGGGCGTGGCCAGGGAAGAAGAGGCCCCGCCCACAGTAGCAGCCGGTCTCCTGGAGGAAGAGTTGCAGAGGCAGAAAGCTGTGGGGGGAAGGGGCGTGGCCTGCGAAAGGAGGCGCGGCGGCAGCCCAGAAGGGGGCGTGGCCCCCTAGGGCCGCGCGCAGAGAGGAGGGGAAAGAGGCGTGGCTTTGGGTACGAAGAAAGAGAAAGGAGGCGCGGCGGCAAGGCAGAGTCCCGCCTATTTTGTACCGCGCATGCCCAGATGGGATTAATCCTCCTTCGCAATTAGCAGGGAGGAGGGGGAAAGGGGCGTGGCCTGGGGTGCGAAAGGAGGCGCGGCGCAGGCCAGAAGGGGGCGCGGCCTCCGAGGGGAGGGGAAAGAGGCGTGGCTTTGGGTGCGAAGAAAGAGAAAGGAGGCGAGGCGGCAAGGCAGAGTCCCGCCTATTTTGTACTGCGCATGCCCAGATGGGATTAATCCTCCTTCGGAATTAGCAGGGAGGAGGGGGAAAGGGGCGTGGCCTGGGGTGCGAAAGGAGGCGCGGCGCAGGCCAGAAGGGGGCGTGGCCTCCGAGGGGAGGGGAAAGAGGCGTGGCCTGGGGTGCGAAGAAAGAGAAAGGAGGCGAGGCGGCAAGGCAGAGTCCCACCCACTTTGTACCGCGCATGCCCAGATGGGATTAATCCTCCTTCGCAAGAGCAGGGAGGAGGAGAAAGGGGCGTGGCTTTGGGTGCGAAGAAAGAGAAAGGAGGCGCGGCGGCAAGGCAGAATCCCGCCCACTTTGTACTGCGCATGCCCAGATGCTACCAAGCCTCCTTTGCAGGAGCAGGGAGGAGGAGAAAGGGGCGTGTCCTGGGGTGTGTAATGAGTCGCAGCAGACCAAAGCCTCGCCCACTTTGTTCCGCGCATGCCCAGATGGGACCAATCCTCCCTCGCAACTGCAGGGAGGCGGAGGGAAAGGGGGCGCGGCCTGGAAGTCGCGGCGGCAAGCCCACTTTGTACCGCGCATGCCCAGATGGGACCTATCCTCCTTCGCAAGTGCAGGGAGGCGGGGGGGGAAGGAGTCGCGGCGGCAAGGCCCACTTTCTACTGCGCATGCCCAGATGGGACCAATCCTCCTTCGCAAGTGCAGGGAGGCGGTGGGAAGGGGGCGTGGCCTAGGAGGGGAGCAACCGTCCTCCGCGCGTGCAGGAAAGGGGGCGTGTCCTCCAGGAAGGGGGCGTGTCCTGGGGCGCACAGAGCCGCGGCAGGCCAGAGGGCGGGAGGCGGGCGCCGAGGGAGGGAGTGTCTGAGGGAGTCTCTTCGCGGCGGGTGCTGCCTGTGTTGCCTCTGCCTCTTCTGCTGCTGCTGTTGCTACTGCTGCTCCTGCGGGCGATGCGAAGCGATGGCCGCGGGCGGGCCCTGCAGCTTTGAGGAGCGGAGCTACCGCCGCTTCTTGGAGCTTTTCCTGCTCGAGTTCCGCGGACCCTTCGGGGAGGAACAGCCCAAGGAGAAAGGAGGAGGAGAAGAGGAAGAAGGGAGAGCCACCGAAGGAGAAGGAGAAGAAGCTGTGAGGGAAGAAGAAGGAGGAGGAGGAGGAGAGGAGGAAGAGGGGGAAGCCCGGCCTGAGGAGGCTCCTGGCGCGGAGGGAGGCGAGGACGCCCCTCCTGCTCCGGCTCCGGCTTCTCCTCCTCCGCCTCCCCCGCCTGCGCCGCTCCTCCCGCCGCTGCCCTCGCTGCCCCGCCCGCTCTCGGAGCCCATCACCGAGGAGGAGGCCGAGGGAGAGTGCCTGGACCTCTGCCTCCAGCAGCTCTACAAGTAGTGAGTGCCTCTTGCCCTCCTGCTCTACAGGGGGATCCTGGAGACAGGTGGAAGGGAAGAAGGAGAGAAAGGGGTGTGAATAAAGAGAGAAGGAAGGAAGGAAGGAGAGGTTGAAGATGGAGAGAATGGGGTGTAAAGAGAGAAGGAAGGAAGGAGAGATGGAAGATGGAGAGAACAGGGTGTAAGGAAAGAGAGATGGAAGATGGAGAGAAAATGGTGTGAAGAAAGAGAGAAGAAGGAAGGAAGGAGAGGTGGAAGATAGAGAGAATAGGGTGTAAAGAAAGAAAGAAGAAGGAAGGAGAGAGGGAAGATGGAGAGAACAAGGTATGAAGAAAGAGAGAAGGAAGGAAGGAGAGGTGGAAGATGGACAGAATAGGGTGTGAAGAAAGAGAGATGGATGGAAGGAGAGGTGGAAGATGGAGAGAATAGGGAGAAAGAAGAAGGAAAGGAAGGAAGAGGGAAGATGGAGACACAAAGGATGAAGAAAGAGAGAAGGAAGGAAGGAGAGGTGGAAGATGGAAAGAATAGGGTGTGAAGAAAGAGAGATGGATGGAAGGAGAGGTGGAAGATGGAGAGAATAGGGTGTAAAGAAAGAGAGAAGGAAGGAAGGAGGGGAGGGAGAAGGAAGGAGAAATGTAAAAAGAAAGGGAAGGAGAGAGAGGGAGAGAAAGCTGGGGAGAGGGGGGATTCTGGAGATAGGAAGGAGAAAAAGGTGTGAAGAAAGACAGAGGGGAATAGGGTGAGGGGGGCGGGGGATGTGAGGAGAGGGGAGGGGGGGAGGCGAGGAGACGCTTAGGCTAGCCAGTGGAGGCGATCGTGGGGGCGATGCGGGGAGGAATTGGGGAGGAGTCGTTAGGTGGCGTGAAGGTGGGGGGGAAG